TCTGCTGCTACCAATGCTTGGGGAAGAATCCATCCAAGGAGCACATGCTTCACAGGGTGGAGCTCAGTTTGTAGGGTGCCTACCTGGCATGCATAAGGCCCTGGGTTCAATTCCCAGCACAGCCTAAATTGGTCATGGTGGGACAGCTAACTTAGAAGGTAGAGACAGGAAGAGGAGGAATTTAAGGTTATCTCCTGATACACAGAAAATTAGGCACCTGTTTCTTAGGCTGAGACCCTGTCTCAATAATATAACAACAGCAATAATAATAATATCTCTTCTACAGAGCTTAGATCAGACTTAGTGGGCCAAGAGCCAATAGACACTTGTTTTGAGACAGAGTCTCGTGTACTTGCTATGCAGCCACGGATAGTCTTGAACTTTGTTATTGTTTTGAGACAGAGTTCAGTATATCCCGGGCTGGCCTGGAACTCTGGAAATCACTATGTGGCTGAGAATGACCTTGAACTTCTAATCCACCTGTCTTCCCCAGTCTATGGATTCCAGGCTTGCACCAGCACACCTGGCTCAGCTTGTACTGGAAAGCCCTCTACTAGAAACTAAGCTACATTCTCAGCCCCTGATCTTGAACTTCTGATCTTCCTTTTTCTGGCTCCAAAGTGCTGGTATGCCACCATGTCTCCTTTCTGTGGTGCTGGGGATTGAACCAGGACTTTGGGCATGGCTAGGAAGACATTAGCTACTGAGCTGTATCCTCAGCCCTATTTTTGTCTTTTAAATTATTTTATGTGCATTGGTGTTTTGCCATGGCTGTCGGGTCCCCTGAAACTGGAATTACAGACAGTTGTGAGCTGCCATGTGGTTGCTGGAAACTGAACCTGGGTCCTCTGGAAGAGCTGTCAGTGCTCTTAGCCTCTGAGGAATCTCTCCAGCCCCCAGCTCTGTTTTTGCTTTTTTTTTTTCTCCAGGTTTTCTTTTGAGACAGGGTTTCATGTAATCAAAGCTAGCCTTGAACTTCTGATGCTTCAGCTTCCATTTCTCAAGTGCTGGGAATAAAGGTGTGCACCACCACACCCAGTTTTATTACATTTTTAAAAACAACAATAATCTATTTTCTCACAATTACTTTTTTCAGCTTTACTTATCTGAGAATTTCATACATGAGGAGGGTATTTACATCATCTCCACCCTTCTCTTTTTCTCCTCCAATTCCTTCTGTGTCCCTCCTGTACCCTCTCAAATTCATGGCTCCCTTTATAGTTTATAATTACTATATACATATATGCATTTATATACATATATACACACATTTATATATTCTACTGAATCAAATTACTGTTGCCCACATATGCATGTGTTTAGGGCTGCCTAGGGAAACTAGGGGGCTCATCGCTTGAAAGACCTGATTCTCTTCCTCTCTCAGCAGCCACTGACTTCCTGTAGCTCTTTAAGTGAGGTGCCTTGTGAGAATTTGGCATGTCAACTCATGTGTTCTTGTGTAGCAATCGTGTTCTTGAGAGATCATGCTGCAGTTCCCCTGCCATGCCCAGAAGACACTGTCTTGAAGCAGATGTTCATTCAGGTTCTCTGGCTCTTACAGTCCTCTGTCCCCTGCTCTGAGACCTTCTCTGAGGTTTAAGCATAGGGGTTGGGTTATAGATGTCCCAGCTGGGGCTGGGGCTGAGGCTGGGGCTGGGGCTGGGGCTGGGTACTGCAAACTTCATTTTCCTTCTTTTTATTACATTTTACTTATTTTGTGTGACTGTGTGCGTGTGTGTTCGAGCAGGTTTGTGTGCACGCACACTCACGCCCTCACCAAAGAACAACTTTTGGGGGTTGATTCTCCCTTGTGCGTTTTGGGGAATCAAACTCAACCTGTCAGGCTTGTGTGCCCTGGGCCATCTCTCGGGTCACTTCCTGTCATTTTAATCTAATGCTTATGAATTAGGGGTTGCCAAATCCAGTTTCCTCTTTAGAAGAATTTCTCACGTTTTCTGATATAGAATGTTTGTCAAATTCAGTCTTGTAAACCTTCACAACACCTCCACAAAAGTGGAAAGTTACAGCCAGGCTGAAAGACACATCCCGCCTGGGGCGGGCAAGTGTTGTTCTAACGGATGCCACAAGAATGAGGGGGTGAAGGCTGATGCCATACATGTCGTGACCAGTAAGGCAGTAGACAATGGTGGAAAGAGCTCAAGCACGATTGCCATGCCCTTGTCTGCACCTCACTTGTGGGGGGCGGTGTGCCCTCCAGGCCTGGCCTCTCTGCCTGCTTGTATTCTAGTGCCAGGCCCATAAAGGCAAAGCTGACTCAGCACACAGTGCTGTTCCAACATGTGGGTTTTCAGTATTGTTTGACTGTGCATGGCTTTATCAACAACATGTAACACCCTCACTTTGTGTTCTCTTAATGCTATCACTCTGGTCTGATATGTGGCCTGCCTGTCACCACATTCCTCTACCAGCAGGGTCCATTGGTCATTTTTCTATTCACAGTACTCATCCACTGTGTGTAAAGCTAACAGAGAGATGGGGGTGAGGGGAGAAGAGAGAGAAAAGAAGAGAGAGGGAGAGAGAGAGAGAGAGAGAGAGAGAGAGAGAGACATAGATTTGATTTTGGAGCAGGAACTTACAAAGATCAAAGCCATTAACTGAGATCAGGGATTCTCTGAGAAGTTAAATAACGGGCTCCATCTACTCACCTCCTCCCACTCACCCACAGCCCCTGTCTCTGCATATTTCTAGACTAAGCAGTGCAAATAATTAGCCACAGGTATTTCACTATGTCGATGATTTTACATATAAAATGCTGGAGACATGCAGAAGGTACAGATGGCCTATATGAGGAGGGGTTGCTGTTCCTTCTGCACCCCTTTGTGAAGAGGCCAACAACACCTCAGAGGGGCTAGGAGGCAGGAGAGGGGGTAAGAATGGAAATAAAAATGCAGACCCAAATCCAAGCCTGGCGTGGCGGCAGGAACCTGTAATCCAAGTACAAAAACCTGGGAGGTAGCCATAGGAGGATCATGTGTTCCTGGTCTTCTTCAGCTTCATAAGAGTCCGAGGTCAGCCTGAGCTACCAATCAAACACAACTAACCAAAAGGAAGCAAATTTCAAATCCATGCGGAGATGTGAGGGTAGACAGTTTCCTTCGGAGAGGGTTCCAGAATGTTTAAGTAGCTCTTTTCTGTGGAGGAAGCAGTCTGAGTGTGGCCACTGATATCCTGGAGACCCTGTGCTGCCCTTTTTCCTCAGGAGCACAGTTGGATTGCTCAGAACAGACACAGTGGTTAGATTTGCAACACGGAACATGCAAATCCTATATAGCTTTTCTTTTTCTGGAAAAGTAGGCTATTTGGTTGGCTTTGATTTTAATTTTTCTCGTGTGTGTGTGTGTGTGTGTGTGTGTGTGTGTGTGTGTGTATCACAGCATACATGTGAAGATCAGAGAAAAACTTTGTGGAGATGACTCTCTTTCCACCATGTGAGTCTCAGCCTCAGGTCATCTGACTTGGCAGCAAGTGCCTTTGCACACTGAGCCATCTCCAAGGCTGTTTGTTTTTAAGACAGAGTCTCACTACCTTAGAGTAGGTCAAGCTCCCATACAGCAAGGGTGACCTTGAACTTCCTTTTCTCCTGCCTAGCCCTCCCCATTGTGCATCACCATACCCAGTGTATAGGACGCCAGTAATCCAACCCAGGGCTTCATGCATGCTAGGTAACTGCTCTACCTACTGACCTATATATCCCAGCCCAAGAGCCAATCTAGAAATAAACACTGGCTTGTCAATTGTGCCCCTGTTCAGAGCCAGACAGATTCTGCTCCGTGCTTTGATTTTTATCTGCAGAGCCCTGATGAGCCAAGTCTAGGAGAGAAACCAGATAAAGAGTCACAAGTCGGGCTGGAGAGATGGCTCAGCGGTTAAGAGCACCGACTGCTCTTCCAGAGGTCCTGAGTTCAATTCCCAGCAACTACATGGTGGCTCACAACCATCCGTTATGAGATCTGGTGCCCTCTTCTGGTGTGCAGATATACATGGAAGCAGAATGTTGTACACATAATAAATAAATAAAATCTTTAAAAAAAAAAAAAAGAGTCACAAGTCATTGACCATAGCCATCCCTCCCAGGCAGAAAGGTGGGAATTAAAGTGCATGGGGATCAATATGCAAAATATGAGAGTGAGAAGTGAAGACATGAAAGCCTTGGGGCAAACCCTCAGGCTAGAATGCAGGGGAAGGAACAGGCTCCAGAATCAGTAGCCTTGTTACAGAAACATTCTAACCTGCCATGGTGGTGGCCCATCTGCAATCCTAGAACTCAGAAGGTGGAAGCTGAAAGGTTACAGGTTTGAAGCCAGCCTAGTCCATATCTTGAGATGTTGGTACCAATACCAAAAGCCCCTCTCAATCCTCAGCACTTCGGAAACTGAGGCAGGGATCTGGCTCACCAAGAGCTGGAGGCCATTCTAGGTTACAGTGAATTCCCGGCTACACTAAGGACCCTTGTCTCAAAGAAACAAAGGAACATTGTGCAGGAAAGTCAGGCCAGTGGTTAAGAGTGTTTCTGGCTCTTCCAGAGGACCCTTTCCCAGCACCCACGTTAGGTTCACAGCTGCCTATAACTCCAGCCCCAAGGGATCTGACACTCTCTTCTGGCCTTCTCAAGTACCCACTGACCCATCAGACCCTCACACAAACACACACATTTAAAAATTGTTTAACTCTTTTAAAACTTTTATTTTATCCCAAGGGGTTGAATAATTGCTTGGTAGACTGGGTTCACTAAGTGAGATGAAGCTTTTTGGGTGTTTGTTTGTTTGTTTGTTTGAGACAAACCTCACTAGGCAGGCCTGGAACTCATGGTGCTCCTACTGCCTCGGCCTCCAAGTGCTGGAACTGCAAGTGTGTGTCACCACAGCAGGCTTCAGCGGGTGGTGTGCTGAAGGTCACTTCTGTTTAGGAGGATCTGTTGTTTGTCCATTTAGTGTTCCACAGCTATTTTTCTATTTCTTTGGTTACTCTGTACAGGAAAAGTATGGATTTTACCTTGGAGCAAATCATTTCCCCTGTTTCCTGAGCCTGAATTTGATCCTGATCCTGGCCTAGCCCATGGACTTTCCAGGCTGGTGGGAAGGAAGGGCCTTAGAGGATCAAAAGGGGTTATATGGCAGCTGCCACTTCATCCTGCACTCAGGTAACACTCTGTGGGAGGCTGTGTGGCCTTGCGTACAGGATGGATTTCTGCCTCCACTGTGGGATTATTCGTAACAATGAGTGTTCTAAACCCACTGTTTCCTTTGCCAGTGATTGGTCTGGGTGTAGTCAGGGCAAAGTGGAGTCATCAAATGCCTGTTGGGATGATTTGTGAATAGCTTTTGCTTTGTTTTGTTTTTCTTAATCTAGGAGGAAGATACATGAAAGCCACTTCTTACTCCTCCTAAACGCTCTATCCTACTCTAAGAGGGCAGTGATGCCTGGCTCTGCAGGCATTTTGAGATCACAAGCTGTGCACTCACAGAGAAGAGCAGCCTGCAAGGAAGCAGGTAGGCACAATGGACTAGCAAGATCCCAGATGGCATCACTGAACCCACCAAAGCCAAGAGAATCCCAACCCTCTTCAGACTTCTGAACACTATAAGCTTTGTTAACTATTTTTAAGAAATTTATCTAGCACAGTTTAGCCCTAAACTTTCCATCCTCCTGCCTCTTTAGCAAATTTGGGAATTGCAGGCATGTCCCACATCCAGTCTCTTTACAGTTTAAATGGATATTGATAGCTGAATTTCTGAGTTTTTGCTGTCATTTAAGAAACAAAAGTAGGCTGGGGTATATAGCTCAGGGTGGGACATGCACAAAACACACCTAGAGAACCCAACACTCAAGAGTCCAAGAAAGGAGATGGGTAGTTAGACAGACAGATGAACGGACAGATTTTTGTAGCCTTGGCTGTTCTGGAACTTCTGCTGTAGTCCAGGCTGGCCTTGAACTCAGAGGCCCACCTGATTTTTCTTTTATACTTGATCTTAGCCAAAAAGCTGAGACACAATCTTTTTTATTTTTTGAGATAGGGTTTCTCTGTGTAACTTTGGAGCCTATCCTGGCACTTGCTTATAGACCAGGTTGGCTTCAAACTCACAGAAATCTGATGGGGGAGGTCCTTCTGTGTATATGATTGTCTTATTGGTTAATAAATAAAGTACTGTTGGCCAATAGGAAAGCAAGATAGGTGGGACTAGGAGTCAAGGAGGATTCTGGGAAATGTAGTAAAGAAGTCTTGTGATACAGGCAGGAAGTGACATAGCAGGCAGACTCATATATAAGCAAGGGCAAGAAGAAAGTAGTTCTTTTTTTTTAAACTGATTTCCACAGCTGATTTATACATCATCTACTTTTTAAAAAATGCAACAACATCCCAATATTTTTTAAAGAGTACAATGGGTAAAACTTAAAAAAACACAAATAATAAATTAGAGAGTGTAATATATCCAATGGGAATTGCTGCATCAACATTACTTTCCATTGGAGGGTTATAGCATTTTTGGTTTCATCTTTTCTGCTGTTCTCTGCTTGATAAACAAGGGTCCTTCTCAGAGCCAGCTTGCTCACTGATCTGAGCAGCTCAATTGTCACACTGTCTCTGAGAACACTGAGCACACATAATTCCCAGGAGTCTGTGCTGTCTATGAGAGCAAAACACACACAGATGAGTGCACATATCCATCAGTAAATACATGTATCCTCCAAGAAATGGCTAGTGTTTCCTGAGACATTCCTAACAGATTGTAAGCCTTCTAAAAGGTTTTGGTGTGGAAGTTGTTCTTTTTCTCTTCCTCCTGCTCTCTGCTCTGGAGTCACCATGTGAGCCCGGGAAGACAGGACGCTTCCGCTGGCGTTCAATAAGATGAGTCTTATAAAATATATATAGATTTATGATAATTAAGACTGAGCTAGCAGATGAGAAATCCTAGTCATTGCCAAGCAGCATTTGTACCTAATATAAGTCTTTGTGTGTTACTTGGGGCCTTAACGTGGCAGCGGGCAGAACTCGGGCAGCCTGGTGGAAAGTGCCCAAGTGGCGGCAGGGCTCAGGTGGCTTTGGAGTAAAGACTTATTGTAACAGAGATCCACCTGCCTCTGCCTCCTGAGTGCTGGGATTAAAGGCATGCACCACCAACGCCCAGCTGAGAAACAATCTTAAAGGGTCTTTTTTATTATTTGTGTGTGTGTGTGTGTGTGTGTGTGTGTACATGTGTTCATGAGTGTATTCTAGGTCAGCGTGTATGCCAGAGGTTGACTTCAGGTGTCTTTCTCGGGCTCTAGCCTCCTTGTCTTGCAAGACAAATTGTTTTACTGTGACTTGCTAGTTAGACTAGGTTGTGTGTCTCACAAGCCCCAGGGATCTGCCTATCTCTGTCTCCTAGTGCTGGGTTATGAGCACATGCCACCAGACCTGTTGTTGTTGTTACTGTTTTTTGGAGACAGGGCTTCTCTGTGTAGCCCTAGCTATCCTGAAATTCTCTCTGTAGACAAGGCTGGCTTCAAACTCAGAGATTAATCTGCCTGCCTCTGCCTTCCTAATGCTGGAATTAAAGGCATGCACCCACTACTGCCTGGTTTGGGGGAAAAAAAAAAACTTAGTTTTTTTTCCCCTTAGTGCCAGGTCTTCATGTTTGTTTGCAAGTCCTTCACCACATGAGCCATCTCTCCAGCCGGCTTCTTACCCTACTTCTTTTTCCATCTTTGACAGAGTCTCGTAAGCTTCCGTCTCACTACACAGCTGATGTACCCTGGAACTCCTCTTCATCCTGCCTCCACCTCCTGAGTGCTGGGATTACAGGTGTGTGCCAACATACCCAGTATATTCCATGCTGGACATCTACCTGTGGCTTCATGTATGTTCTAGGGATGTTCTCTACCAACTGTGAGATGGCCTGTCTCAAAAACTAAGGTGGAGAATCAACTGAGGACGACACACATATACATCATGCACACACAAGTAAATAATAAAATTTAAAAAGCACACAGAAGACCAGTTGCTGGGAAACTTCATAAAGGGTATTATCCACCACAAGACTGGTTGGCAAGTGTCATGGTGTCAAGGATAGCTACCACTTGTCTACCTTCTTTTTTTGTTTCTTTGGTTTAATTTAATTTTATTTTTCTTTAACCATTTACAAATCTCCCATATACATTTTGTCATCTGATTTTACAACAGCTCTGTGTGGTCGGCAGCACAGATCTTACACATGACCACACACACATAGACACATGCACCACACACACATAGACACATGCACCACACACATAGACACATGCACCACACACATAGTATAGATAGGAAAGTGAATCTCAAAGCCACAAGCCTGTTCAGGGTTCCATAGTTAGCAACAAATTCGTATACATGACAATCTTTGGCCTGGAAATTCAATACCCAACCTTCCCTCATACCCTACGTACTTCACAAGGATAATGAAGATAATATAAATTCAAGCCCCCCAAAAATACTTTTGAGGGGGACAAAAAACACTATATAATTACATAATATAATTACCTGTGACATATGGCTCATCCCCTTTCCCATCCTAGCTCATTTGTGAGCCTTGAATTTTATATTACCCCTCTTCTGTCCTCAACGAAATACAGTAGGGTCCTGTTGAAGCTTTGGGAAGTCAGGGAAGCTGCAGCATTACACAAACTGAAAACGACACAGACTAATGTGAAACCAGGACACACTAAAGTGCAGCAAAGCCTAAGTGTCGGGCCAGCATGACTGCAGAGAGGGATAGCATGGTGTCAAGGCTCATGTGCGTGCACACACACACACATACACACACACACACACACACACACACACAGTTATCTGAGGCAAAGAAGCATTGCACATTGTATAAAGGAGCCACCGATGCATGGGAGCCCACACAGAGGCATTGTATACACCAATCTCTCCAGCTGTCTACAGGCACATAGGCTGTAAGAATGAGTGTGTCTGAAGCCAGGTGGTGGTGGCCCATGCCTTTAGTCCCAGCACTCAGGAGGCAGAGGCAGGCAGATCTCTGTGAGTTTGAGACCAACCTGGTCTACAAGAGCTAGTTCCAGAGGGAGGTGGATCTTTGTGAGTTCAAGGCCAGCCTGGTCTACAGAGCAAGTTCCAGGACAGCCAGATCTGTTACACAGAGAAACCCTGTCTTGAAAAAACAAAACAAAAGGAATGAGTGTGTCGATTATGCTCATGTCCCGAACCAAGGAATAGCTCTGTGCCAAACCTCCTAAGCTAAAACATAACATCACCATTATTCCTGATGAAAAAATACATAAAATACCTTTTAAGCTGATGAGTTACGGTCAGTCAGCTTTTCTTTGGGATCTACTTTGGATTCTCCTGCTTTGAGACTGGGAGAGTGTTTTATTGAGATTTTACAGGCAATTCTAAGTCTATCCAGTTAAAGTGTCCAGTGAATTTAACATAGTAAAACTATATCATCTGCAGAAAAGACTATCTCAAGTGACACGCCACTTTTTTAGTGTGTTTTCTGTTCAACATGTTTCTCCTGAGCTGGCTCAGTTGAGCAAACTTTGTTTTGTTTTTGTTGTTTTCCTTCTACAGTAGCTTTGCAATGGCCATAATGTCAGTAGCACAGCTGGGACTGCAGACCAATGCCTGGAGGGCTTAAAGCCACACTGCTCATCTCTGCCAAGACCATGCATGTGGCGCCAGAGACTGGGGTGGACCTGACTCGGGTAGTGAGGGAATGAAGGAAAGATAGACAAACAGAAGCTGAGATCGCCTGGAGAGGCCGAAGCATCCCGGAAGCTCAATGTATTTATTACATAGAGTTGAACAGATAAGCAGGGTCACTGCCTGCAGCTGATTAAGGTGGCACAGTTATTACCTGCAGATAAACAAGGAGACTGGGTTTGCAGTATAGGCCGGACCAAGGTGCAGATCTAGCTAATCTCAATAAGACTTGTCCCTGTAGGAGGGCAATCCTTCGGCCATAAATACCCGGGAAAGAAAGGTATGGTGGATGTTATCTGTATAGACAGTCAACATCCACCATGGTCCAGAAAGAAGGCTTTGCCATTTTACTTTCTGTATGAGCTCTGGGGTCCTTGACACAGCCATGCCCACGACAACAGCACACGTTTACTCATTCAAGGTTTCCTCAGCTTCCTGTGCATCCCACTAATTTGTTTTAGTTTGGTTTTTGGTTTTTTGAGACAGGGTTTCTTTGTGTAGTCCTGGCTATCCTAGAACTGGCTCTGTAGACCAGGCTAGCCTCGAACTCAGAGGCTGCTGCTGTCTCCACAATTTCGGGATTAAAGGCCTGGTTATCTCATTAATTTTTTTAATTTGAGCAGACAACATTCGAGCTCCCGTGGAGTCCAGGGGATAATTTCAACTGGCACTCCCCTCCTTTGAGACATCTCATCTCATTGCCTTGGAGCTCACCAGTTAGGCTCGGCTGGCTGCCAGCTTACTCTATGATCTTCCTGTCTCTCTCCCTAGCACTGGGTTTGCAAACACTTTTCTGTGAGGGCTAGGAGTCAAACCCAAGTCTTTTCCTACAAGGCAAGTGCTTGATTGACAGCTGCAGTCCACCCCTTCTTCATTATTTCTAATAGGAAAATGCACACAGTGTAACTCAGCCTGGATCTTATCTGATCCAGCTCTCTCATTTTACAGAGGAGAAAATTTAGACCTAAGAGCATACCGAGCATCATTAAAAGCTTAAAGTCTGGTTGATTTCCACTCTGGGGGAGTTCCTGTGCTGTCAGTCTTGACAGTCTACAGCTAATATCTGTTGAGAGTTTCCTCCATGAGTTCTAGGAGGTCACTGTTTGATCTCTCTCCAGCCCTAGTCTTATAACGTTGGTACAATCCTAGCCCCACTTTACATATAAGTTAAGGAGCACTAAGGGCAACTGAGTAACTGGACCAAGGACACAAACACACGGGGAATCCCAGACTAAGTTCTACATGTTAGCTTTCAAGCCTAGTGTCTATTTCACATATCAAAGCACGTGCTAGCCGCCAAGTTCTTCCCACATCCATCAGTCCTCCCTACCTGTTACTGGGTCCTCCTGGCTGGCATACCCCATCCCCTACTCAAAACTCTGCAGCCCACAGGCTGGGCTGCCCTTCCCCTAGATGTCCTTCCTTATATAATCCAGTCATTTTGGCTAACTGTCCTCTCTTGGGGGCCTCCTGGCTGTCATACATGGTTCCCCTCTCCCTTCCCCAACCCCTGTCTCCTCACATGACTCAGGGTCATGTCCACTCTGTACTCTCCCAGATACTCCTGCCTCTGGCTATGCTCTCCCTTTTATCTACAATAAACATTCTCTTCCATCATACCTAGGAGCAGCCATGTTCTTTCCTTTTTATTTCTTTTTTAATTCACTAGGCAGTTCCCCAAACTCAGATTTAGCTATGGGTTATCATTATTTTTATTTGTTTGAGATAGGATATCATGTAGCCCAGGCTGGCCTCGAACTTGTGATTCTTCAGTTTCAGTCTCCTACCTTCTGGGATTACCAGTGTATGCCACCACTTCCAGATCATCCCTTAGTTTTTAATTGTTGACAGGTTCCCCCCACACCTGTGCCCCAGAAGTTCTGCAAATATGTCTATCACTGAGCCATGCCCTTAGCCCCTGAAAGAAAACTATTCTCTTAGGTTCCTTTCAGGTCAGGTTGGTCCCCACCCAATTTTCCAGGAGCATGTGTGTGACTGGAATCTTGTGCCTGCTTTTTACACCGCCCACCCCAACACCTACCCGCTAGGCCCTAATGGAAAGAGTTAATTCTAACTTGGTGAGTAGAAACTGTCATTCTGAGAGCAAGCTATTTCCTGGCCTCCTCTGAGAAGTGTTCACAGTCCTTTCCACTGAACCTGGTCAGAGTTGAACTTGCAGGCTTCGGCTCTATAGATGACAAACGCCCACCCATTGTGTGTTGTGAACAGTACAGATTGACTGCTCTTCCTGGGGTCTTCCTGTCTGAAGAGAAGCAAGCTGGCTGCCCCCTGGGTGGTTACTGGTTAAAACAATGAAAGTGCTCATTGTAGCAGTTAAATGTTGCTGGGCCCAGTACAACTGCAGAGTCCCCGAAGTCTCTCAGAGCAAACCATGGCAGGTTTTAAAAAACTTTCTTTCGTCATGATGTCCCTGAAGGTAGCGACACATAATGAACTCTATGGCCAGTCAGGGGCTGCTGTGGCTGAGCTGCAGGGCCGGCCAAGGGGTCATGGCCGCCGCAGTCATAAGAGAACCTGCTTATAACTAAACCTTTCATTTCTACTCTTGCCTGGGTCCAGGCTTAACCTACACTTAAAATTCTGAAAGAGAATACGGTCATTAAAGAATAAGACAGCCTGGGGCAGATTGCAATCTTGGAATAATAATTGTATGTGTGTGAGAAAGGAGAACCCCACCTCATGAATCATCCAACCATTGTTCTTTGTTTGGTTTTTTTTCTCAGCTTGTTTCCTTAGTTTTTTCAATTACATTTTTTTTTTTTTTCTGCTTGTGGAAAAGCCTCACTTCAAATTAATCTCCTGTGATGCCAAAGCTTCCCAGCAACATAAACCCATGAGCCGGGGCATGTTTTTATCGGGACCAGAAAGGAACCACCATGATGTCTGGGACTGTGTGAGCTGGAGACAGAGAGCTGTGACACCCTGGCCCTTCTCCCAGCATTGGGGGACCTGCCACATGGCTCCCTGACCAGGTAATTCATACACTTCTGAGGGACACCAAGAAGGCAATTTAGAAAGGATGTTAAAAAAAAAAAAAAAAAAAAACCCTGAACACACCAATCAAATTCTTTCTCTCTCCC